GGCCGGGCACTCACGTGGGGCAGGGCTTCCAGCACCAGGGCCATCTTGGCTGCCTCCCCGTACTGCTGGTACGCTTCTGCCTTGAGCTTCATCTTCTCGGCCTCCGCCTTGCCGATGGCCTCAATCACCAGCGCTTCAGCCTCGCCGATCTTGCGGATCTTCTCCCCTTCGGCCTGGGCGATCAGCACCTGCTTGACCCTTCGGGGAGGAAGAGGCGGGCCCTCGTAAAGCAGTCCGGGGGGGGGGGGGCCCGGGCCTCCCCCGGGGGGGGGCTTGGGGGGGGGGGGGGGGCTCTGGGGCCAGGGCTCTCCCACCTTGGCTGCTTTAAGGCTTGGGGACTTCAACTCCCAGAATTCCTCACCCAGCTTTGCTTTGCTGACTGGGGGGATTCTGGGAGTGGAAGTGCACCGGTCTTAAAAGTGGCCAAGGTTGGAGACCCCTGCTGGCTGGAGGGTTGAGTCTTCCAACGACTGCAATTCAGCCCAACGTTTCCATCGCTAAGCCGGACAGCCGCTCAGTGAGTTGGGCTTCATTTTACAACCTTCCTGCCGCCCTTGTTCAAGGAATCCCTGCAGGGGTCGTTCAGTGAATCATGTGGTCCTTAAGGGAACCTTGGCTTCCCCATGGACTGCCCTGGTCAGAAGGGGAATCTGCCGGGCAAAATTCTAACTAGAGAGCCTGATGGATGACTCTGGGCTAGGGACGTGTCCCATTGGAGAATATGGATTACGATACACCCAGGGGATTGTGGGGGTGGGGAAAACCAGGGTCAAGGGTGACAGTGAAAATTAGGTGTCTCAGAGTCGGCTACACGCAGGCAGCACCGGCAGGTCTTCTCGACGATATACAGCCCTGCACAACTCGACACAAGGACAGTTTTTCCCTCTGCTAAACAAATAATTCCCTCAACACTGTCCAGCTATTATGAAGTCTGCACTACTATGACTATTAATCTTCTCATCCCTCCTTATCACTCATCCCCTCCCACTTGGGACTGTAGGACTGTAACTTGGTCGCTTGTATCCTTACGATTTATATGGAGTGTATCTTGATAGGATTTGATTGCTTATTGTACCCTCTGACTATCATTACGTGTTGCACCTGATGATTCTGGACTCTTGACAAATGTCTCTTTTCTTTTATGTGCACTGAGAACATTTGCACCAAAGACAAATTCCTTGTGTGTCCAATCACCCTTGGCCAATAAAAGAATTCTATTCTATTCTATTCTGTTCTGTTTTATTCTATTATTCTATTCTATTCTAATTTCTATTCTAATTTCTATTCTATTTTCTATTCTATTTTCTATTCTATTCTATTCTGTTCTGTTCTGTTCTGTTCTGTTCTGTTCTATTATTCTATTCTATTCTAATTTCTATTCTAATTTCTATTCTATTCTATTCTCTATCCCGTCCCATCCCCTTCTATTTAAATTCTATTCCTATATCTTTCTATTCTATTCTATTGTACCCTCTGACTGTCATTAAGTGTTGGATCTGATGATTCTTGACTCTTGACGAATGTAGCTTTTCTTTTTTGCGCACTGAGAGCATTTGCACCAAAGACAAATTCCTTGTGTGCCCAATCACACTTGGCCAATAAAAGAATTCTATTCTATTCTATTCCTAATAAATCTTCTTTGAGCTTTGAAAATCTGGCTAGAGACTCGTGATGTAAATGGGGGTTAACTACCGGAGCCCTGATAACGAGACCTCTTGGGACCCCCCCTCCCCTCGTGTGGATCTCTAGCCAAGGGTCCCAGTCTGTCAGGACTCCAACAAATCCACCCCCATTCAAATCACAAACCTCTAAAAAATATTGATTTATTAAGGAGTTGACATGTTGGCGTTTCCCAGTTGCAGCCGACTCTGAGACCCATCATTCATCTCCCCCTTGACCCTGGTCTTCCCCCCCACCCCCTGGATGTATATTCTCCAATGGGACACATTCATAGCCAAGAGTCGCCCATCATGCTCTCCAGTAATAATCTTGCGTGCCAACAGCTTCGGATGCCTAGCAATTATCTGAAACATTTGAGGAATGTACTGCTTTCCCCCCTCCCATTCTGCTGGCAGCAAAGTCTCCTGCCCTCCACTCACTTTTCTCCCTCGGCGATCTCCTGCATGCGGTGGGCCTCGGCCTCGGCCGGCAGCCGGACAGTGGCGATCAGCTCCTTGTCCATCCGCACGATCTCCTTCTCCTCCACGTCGATCTGCCGCCGGCGCTGGACCACTTCGATCTCGATCTCCTCTTGACGGATCTTCTGCTGCTCCTTGGCGCCCTGCAGCTCGTAGGCCAGCTGGGCCTCGGCCGACTGTCCGGAGGGAAGGAGGAGGGTCAGAAACGGGGGAAACGGTCGCTGTTGAGGTCACTGCTTAGCCTGGAGTCCTGCCCAGGGGGGTGGTGTGGGGGAAGGGGCTTTCTGTCGTTTTCCTCCCCTCCAAGGTTTCTCCTTGCCAAGCCGACGGAACGGGGTCTCTTCCCTATTTTCCCACCCAAGGTGATTCTCGCTGTCCCCTTGGCTCTGTCCTCCATCCGAGCCTGGAATAGCGGAAGCCTGTGGGGTCCTTGGCGGGCTCTCTGAGCTCAGCTGGTTTTCTTGCAGACGTTTCATGACCGAACTAGGTAACATCATCAGTACTAGAAGGGTGAGTTGAGGAGAAAGGGAGGAGGAGGAAATGGACTTGGTGTCTCTGAGCTGGATTGCTTTCCTGCAGACGTTTCATGACCGAACTAGGTAACACCACCAGTGCTAGAAGGGGGGGTTGTGGAGAGGAGGAGGAAGAGGGGAAGGAGAAGGAGGAGCTGGAGGGGAAGGCGAGAAGGGCAGGAGGATTACAGGGTCCTTGGTGCTCTCTGAGCTTGGCGGATTCCTTAAGACGTTTCAGGACCCAACTACTGCGTTTCCCCCGAAAATAAGACCCTGTCTTATATATATACTTTTGGCCACCAAAAAAGGCACCAGGTCTTATTTTCGGGGGAAGTCCTCCACGGACCAACCTCACTTGCGCATGTCGCCCCCGGCCTCGCGTTTTTTTCTCCTGCAGCTTCCATCTCTCCCGCCCCCCCCCCCCCCGCCCCCCCCCCCCCCCACCAAAAGAAGAGCCCCACCTTAATGTTGATCTCCTGAGTGAAGGCGGCCTTCTGCATTTCAAAGGCCCGCTTGGAGTCGGCCACTTTGGTGTCCGCCCTGAACTTCACGTCCAGCATCTCCTTCTTGCACTCGGCCTCCTGCGGCGGCAAAAGAAAAGCTCAGCGGGGTCTCCCAGGCCCTCCAGGGAAGAGGGAGAGACGGGCCCGGGGGCTTCGCTCACTCCACGTACCCGGATGCCGGCGTCTCGCTCGGCCTCGGCCACACCGATATCGGCGTCTCGCTGGACCACGGCGATCTGGGTTTTCCCCAGCGAACTCAGGTAGCTGACTTTATCGTAGACATCCTGCCAGGGAAGGAGTGAGGAGGGGGGTCAAGGCCGGCTCTGGGTGGGATCCCCCTCAGGAGGGGGCAGAATGCCTCCTCGGCACAGTTCAGAGTTGCCTTGAATTCAACTCCCAGGATTCCCCAGCCACCTTGTGTGGACTTCAACTCCCAGAATCCCTCAGTCACCTTAGG